AATATGCCAGGTCTGAGATCTCACAGCCCCCCTAAAGTGTCTTGAGGTGGTGTCAAGGTAAGATGAATTTGATATTGATCTACCTATGATATTTTACTTGTAGGAAAATATGAGATTTTTCTTAGAATCTCTTGGTGTGTGGGTATGTTGCTAAGGATTCTTTGATGGCATACTTCATTCAGGCAAGTGGATTGCTTTTCTCTTTTCTCACCTTCCCCATGACCAAGTTATGGCTTAATGTGCCCTTGAGTATACCTGTCCTCTGGGTGACTCACTTGGGCACTTAAATCTCATTTCCTACTTCCTCTGTCACCAGATGAAGCATTGTAGAGTGGGTGGATGATCAGACTGGCAGGCACTTGACTTTGACAGGTAGGTCTGTAGAGATTTTGAAAGTTTCTCTAAAGTCTCATCTGAATGTGACATATACAGGTTTTATGAATAGTACTATTTTTTAAAATTGTGTGTGGTGATTCACTAATATGTCATGAAAAGCATTTAGTGGTATTGCCCAAGATATTAAAAAGTAAAATAAGATAAATAGTATAAAAATATCAGTGTGTATTATGCATAGTAAATGTAAATATTGTTTCATGGAACTTCATCTGGGTTATGATGTATAATATATTTTTAAATCTAGGTTGGGGTTAAAAAGAAAGTGTGAGTAACATCACCCTAGAGAGTGGCCTTTGTGGTTGGAAGACTCATAGAAAAGAATCTAAGCTCCATAATGATCAGCTTCCTGACCATGGAAAGTTTCACAGCCTTTTTGGGCCTCAGATTCCTCATCTGTAAATTGGGGAATAAAGATAGATCCTGCCTCAAAAAGTTATGTTTGTTGAGAGGATTAAAGCCTTACTATAATGCCTGATAACACACAATAAGTGTCTGATAAATAACAGCTATTATAATGATCTATGAAAATTGGTTATTGATCTGTTATGTGTGTGTAGAAGGAAATTAGCAATGAGTCAAATGGGCCTGTTATCAGTGTAGAAAATGGGTATGGTTTCACTGAGTTCTCCTTAGCCTCAATATTCACTATTGGTCTTTTATCTAGAATGACATCTGATATCTTAGTTTGAAGCACTTGTTTGAAAATCAAGGCTCCCTCAATAGGTACACAGTTTTTAAGATTTTCAGAATAGCATATATTATACTTTGAACTCTAGTTTCCTTTCCTAAAGAAATAAGATTGGGAGTTGTAGGTGCAGTGATTGGATAGAGTTGCACCCTCCCCAAAGCCACCTGATATGGGAAGCACAGGGATGTGCCTCTCTTACTCCCTGTGGGGTCTCTGAATTTGTCAGCCTTCTGCTTCTAGGAATTAATTTCTTTCCTTCAGGCTGTTGTTTCTATTAAACTCGTCCACTCTAAGCTGTCCTGGGTTGCTTAACATTCTTATTAATAATTTATTTAGGGTTAACTTTTTATTATTATGGTTGTGTTTATTTTTTAAGCAGTGAATTTATAGAAATTCACCCTTTATGAGTGTACGATTCAGTGATTCTTGAATGAACAATTCAATGATTCTTGAATTTATAGAGTTGATTATCATCACAACCCAGTTTTAGAACATTTCCATCACCCCTAAAAGATCCTTTATACCTATTTATAATCTTTTCATCCCCAGCCACAGGAAATCATTAACCTATTCTTTGTCTTTATAGATTTACTTTTCTGAACATTTAGTCCCAATGAAATCATGCCATGTGTGGTGTTCTGGGTCTGGCTTCTTTAACTTAGCATAATGTTTCTGAAGTTCAGCCATGTTGTAGCATGTATATGTACTTCATTCCATTTTGTTGACTGACAGGTTTCTACTGTATGGATATGCATTTGTTTCTCCATTCTTAGTTGGTGGATATTATATTGTTCCTATCTTTTGGCTGTTATAAACAATAGTGATATGAACATTCATGTGCAAGTTTATATGAGAGTGTATGCATTTATGTCTCTTGGATAGATAACTAGGATTGGGACCAGTGGGTTATATGGTAAAGTTATGTTCAAATTTTTAAAGAAAGTGCTATACTGTCTTCCAAAGTAGTTGCATCTCACCAACACACTGTGAAGATCTAGTTTATGTACATTCTTGCCAACACTTACTACTGTTCTTTTTGATTACAGCCATTCTAGTGGGTGTATAGTGGTAGCTCACTATAGTTATAATTTGAATTCTATTAATAAATAATGATATTGAGCATTTTGTATGTATTTATTAGTTCTTTATATAGTTTCTTTCCTGAAATATTTATTCAAATCTTTTGTCAAAATTTTAACTCAATTGTCTTTTCATTGTTGTGTTGTAAGAGTTCTTTATGTATTCTAGATACAAATGTTAGATATGTGATTTGCAAATACTTTCTCTCAGTCTGTGGTTTGTCTTCAAATTTTCTTAAAGGTGACTTTTGAAGAGCAAAGTTTTAATTAATTAATTAATTTTTATGTTGACAGCTACTGTGGACTCCAAATAATCATCATTCATGGGGGTACATGACATTTTGATTCAATCCCTTTGCTTAAAAAATAACCCATTAAATATTTTTCAAAGAAAGTGAAATAGCTTTACTACCTTTTCTTATTAATATATGTTTATTGTAAAATTTAGATAAAACAACCAAATGATATAAAAAAGAAAGTGAATATCTGGAGAAACTTAACCATCTAAAGTTGATCACTATACAATACACCAAATGTGTTAACATGCATAGACATTTTGAACCATACTGTAATTATACTGTTGATTATACCGCAATCCTCCATTCTGCTTTGTACTTCTTAGTTTTCCCTTTTTTAAAAATTAATTTATTCAGGTGGAAGCTTAGATTATTAATTTGAGAGTTTTCTTCTTTTAACATAGGCATTTGAAATTATAAATATCTCTTGAAACAGTGCTTGATCTGTATCATAAAGTTTGACATATTTTAATTTTCATTCTGTTTAAAATATTTTAAAATTATTTTACTGTTGTTCAAGTACAGTTGTCTGCATTTACCTCCATCACTCCCCCCACCCCAGCCTATGCACACTGATTATTTAGACGTATACTGTTTAATTTCCAAATATTTATTGATTTCTCAAATTTCTTTTTGTTGATTTATAATTTAATTTGAGATTGCAGCACATGCTTTATAGGATTTTAATCCTTTTAAGTTTATCACATATTGTTTTATGGTCTAGCATATCATCTGTTCTCAAGAATGTTCCATGTGCACTGGAAAGAAGGTATATTCCTTGTTGTTGGGTGGGGTATTGTATAGGTGTGAATTAGGTCAGATTAGCTGATAGTGTTGTTAAATTTTTCTATATCTTTTCTATTTTATGTCTCATTGTTTTATCCATTATTAAAAGTGGGCTATAGCTCTGGCTGGTGCGGCTCAGTGGATTGAGTGCTGGCCTATAAAGTAAAGGGTCATTGGTTCAGTTCCCAGTGAGGGTACATGCCTGGGTTGCAGGCCAGATCCCCAGTGGGGGGCACACAAGAGGCAACCATACATTGATGGTTTCCTCTCTCTCTCCCTCCTTTCCCCTCTAAAAATAAATAAATAAAATAAAATAAAGTGTGCTATAAAATCTTTCATTATTATTGTTTAATTGTCTATGTCTCCTTTCAGTCCCATCAGTTTTTGCTTCATGTAGTTTTGAGTTCTGTTGTTAGGCATGTACATGTTTTTAATTGTTTATCTTTCTTATTAATTTATACTTTATTTATTAAATTTTATTTTTTACTAGTCACCATACTGTACATTATATCTCTGGTAGATTATCTTTTTTCCCTGAAGTAAATATCACTTATTATTTAATATTATGGCTAATGTAAGTTAATTTCAAATTGAAAAAGACATAAACCAAGGGTCCACATCCTCTATCTTTCATCTCTTTTTTCAGTTTTTCATTAGAAATCAAGCAAGGTCCTTACAATGCTAAGGTATAATGAGTAGGATTAGGTTATCAACAAGCTGGCTAAGAATCACAACTGAAAAGGAATTTTTATATGTGTACATAAAAGGAAAGCCATAAATTACATATTGCACAGTAAAAAAGATCTTTATTATTTATGAAGCACCTACTATGTACTATGGAGCCAAGAATCATTTATTCCTCACATTAACCCTAGGAGGTCTTAACACCTCAATTCATAATTGAAAAAAACGGGCTTATAAAGTAACTTGCCAGAAGTCACATTGCTGGTGAGTGACTCAGCTGGGATTTACACACCAGTCATGCTATCACAGACATGGTATTTATTTATCTTTTAACTGGAATAGTACTTTATACTTATAAAATGCCCTTTTTTGCTTGTAGTAATATTTTTGTCTTAAAGTCTATTTTGTCACTATTATAGTGACTTTATCCATCTTATAGTTGCCATTTGCATTGTGTATTTTCTCATACTTTTACTTTAAACTTATTTGTACCTTTGAATCTTTAAGTGTGTCTCTTGTACATAGCATATAGTTGTTGGATCTTGTTTGCCTTTTGATTTGAGTATTTATTCCTCTTTTTCAATGGAATTTTTAATTGAGATAATTGTAAATTCTCATGCAGGTCAAAGAAACAATACAGAGTGGTCCCTGGTACACTTTGTTTAGTTTTTTTCCAATGCTAATATTTTGCAAAACTACAGTTACAGACTGAATATTGACATTGATATAATTCATAGCTGTTATTCAAGTTTCCCTAGCTGTATTTGTAGTCATTTGTGTTGTATGTGTTATGGGGTGTGGAGGGCAGTGAGTTTACTAAGTTCTATACAATTTTATCACCCATGTACGTTAGTGTATCCAATACCACTGTACCAAACAGTTCCAACTCTAGAAGAATCCCTCATGTTGCCCATTTGTAACCACTCTTACTTCCCTGACACAACCACCTTTGCCCCTCCCTAACCCTTGGCAACTACTAATATGACCACTATTTCTAAAATTTTCTCATTTAATAATGTTATATAAATGGAGTAATTCATTATGTAATCTTTTGCGTATGAATTATTAGCTGAAAAAATGGAACACTTCATAAATTTGTATATCATCTTTGTATATCGCCCATGATAATCTTCTCTGTCTCATGCCATTTTTGTGTATGTGCTGCTAAAGTGTGAACAATCAATATTTTTAACATAGGTATTGATGTAGTTGTATTATATCTCCTCATTTTTGTTTTCTATGTCTCACATCTTTTTATTCCTCTATTTTTTTCCTTTACTACCTTTTTTCATGGTAAATATTTCTAGTATACTATTTTAATTCCTTTTATTTTATTTTTTATTTTATTTTTGCAATGAGTTTTAGTTGTTCTGAAGGAATTACAGTATATTTTAACTAAAAACACTACTTCAGATAATGCTAACTTAATTCTAGTAGAATAGAGAAACTTTGCTCTATTTCCTCTGATTCATTTGTGATATTATTGTCATATATATTAGTTTATATGTTGTAGTCCCCAAAATATCATTTTATAATTATCTGTTTATGCAATTTTAGCCTAAATAAGAGAAGAAAATAGAAAAAACTATCTTTATACTATCTCTTTTAACTACATAATTACCTTTACTCATATTCTTTATTTCTTTGTGTTTTATTTGAACTACTGTCTAGCACCATTTCTTTTCAGCCTGAAGAACTTCCTTTAGGATTCTTTGTAAGGCAGGTCATGTTTACCTGGTAATGTCTTAATTTTGCTTTCATTTTTAAAATCTTGTTTTACAGACATGGATCTTTGGTTGACATTATTTTTTATGTCACTACTTCTAAGATGTCATTCTATTGCTTTCTGGACCTCCACCATTTCTGATGATAAATCAGTTTTTCAACTATCAAGTCCCCTTTCCATTGTATGTGATGAATTGTTTTTCTTTTGCTACTTTCAATATTTCATCCTTTTCTTTGCCTTTCAACACTTTGACTATGATGTATCTCAGTGTAGATCTATATTTTTTACTACTTTGAGTATGTAGAAATTTTTGGATGTGTAGATTGATGTTTTTGACCAATTTGGGGAACTTTTTTGGCCATTATTTTTCAAATATTTTTTCTGCCCCTTTCCTTCTCTCTTCTCCCTCTCAAACCCCAAGCATTAATATGTTGGTGGAGGAGTTCCAGCCAAGATGGAGGTGTAGGTAGAAATGCTTTGCTTCCTTGCACAACCAAAAGAAGGATAAAAACCAATTTAAAAACAATAAACAACCAGGATTGCCAGAAAATAAAACTGCATGGAACTCCAACAACCAAGGATTTAAAGAAACATTTACCCAGACCAGTAGAAGATGCAGAGACTGGCAGCCCAGCAGGTGGAGGATCCACAGCAAGGTTATGGACCAGGCAGGTGAGGTGGAGCTGACTTACCAGAAAACTAAAGACTCAACACCTATAGCTATAAAATACTGTGCTGGTCATGGAGGTGGGAGAAACTCCCAGTCTGACAGGAGAATTCACTGGAAAGGTGATAGAGTGGAGAGAGTGAGCTGCATTGTTTCCTCTTTAACACCTCCACCACAGTCAGCCCCACAACACAACAAAGAAGGTTGCCCTTCCCTGGTGAATACCTAAGGCTCCATCCCCTTGTGACATAACAAGTGTATGGAGACAAAGAAATATGGCCCCAATGAAAGAGCAGATCAAAACTCCAGAAAAAGAGCTAAGTGATGAGGAGATAGATGACCTATGTGATGCAAAGTTCAAAACACTGGTAATTAGGATGCTCATAGCATTGATTGAGCTCTCTCACAAAATGAAGGAAGAGATGAAGGTTACACAAAGTGAAATAAAGCAATATATACAGGGAACCAACAGAGAAGGGAAGAAAACCAGTACTCAAATCAACAATTTGGAACAAAAGGAAGAAATAAACATTCAAACAGAAAAGTATAGAGAAACAAGGATTCTAAAAAATGAGGAAAGGCTTAGGAATCTCTGGAACAACTTTAAGAACTTCAACATCTGAATCATAGGGCTGGCAGAAGGAGAAGAGGAAGAGCAAGAAACTGAAAAGTTATTTGAACACATAGTGAAGGAGAACATCCCCAATCTGGAGAAGGAAATAGACATACAAATCCAGGGAGCTCAGACAGTCCCAAAAAAGTTGTACCCAAGGAGGAACACACCAAGACATGACATCATTAAGTTACACAAGATTAAAGATAAAGAGAGAATCTTAAAAGCAGCAGGAGGAAAGGAGAGAGATATCTACAAAGGAGTTCCTATAAGACTATCAGCTGATTTCTCAAAAGAAACCTTACAGGCAAGAAGGGACTGGAAAAAAGTATCCCAAATCATGAAAGGCAAGAACCTATATCCAAGATTACTCTATCTAGCGAAGCTATCATTTAGAATGGAAGCACAAATAAAGTGCTTCCAAGATAAGGTCAAGTTAAAGGAGTTCCTCATTACCAAGCCCTTATTACATGAAATGTTAAAGGGATTTATCTAAGAAATAGAAGAAGATCAAAAACTATGAAAAACAAAATGACTACAAAGTCATAACTATCAACAAGTGAACCTAAAAAAAAAAACAAAAAGTAAGCAAACAACTAGAATAGGAACAAAATCACAGAAATGGAGATCACATGGAGGGTTATCAGCAGGGAGGGGAGGGGGAGAGTGGGAGGAAAGGTATAGGGAATAAGAAACATAATTGGTAGGCATAAAATAGTCAGGGGGAGGTTGAGAATAGCATGGGAAATGAAGAAGCCAAAGAACTTATGTGGGTGACCCATAGGATTGAACTAAGAGGGGGGGAATGCTAGAATGTGGGGGTGCAGGGCAAAAGAGGGTAAAGGGGAGGAAAAATTGGGACAACTGTAATAGCATATTCAATAAAATACACTTAAAAATATGTTGGTGCACTTAATGATGTCTCACAGAGCTCTCAGGCTCTGCTAATAATTCTTCATTATGTTTTCTTTCTGTCCTTTGGACAATTTCTATTGTTTTAATCTTTGAGGTTGGTAATTCTTTTTTTCTGCCAGCTTAAATCTGTTGTTGAGACCCTTTAGTAAATGTTTCATTTCAATTGTCCTTTTTAACTCGAGAATTTCAAAATGATCTTTTTAAAATGATTTCTATATTGTTATTGCTAGTCTCTATTTGATGAGTCATTATTGCCACAATTTCTTTTAATTCTTTAAACATGGTTTCTTTGACATCTCTGAACACATTTATAATACCTGCTTCAAAGTTTTGTCTGGTAAATCCAACCCCTGGCATCTATCAGACACTGTTTCTGTTGCCTGCTTTTTTTTTTCTTGTGCATGGGTTTCACTATCCTGTTTTTGTTCTTTTTCATGTCTTACAACTTTTTGTTGAAAATTGAACATTTTCAATAATATAATGTAGGAACTCTGAATTTTGATTTCTCTCTTCCCTGAGTTTGTTGTTGCTGTTTTTGTTTCTTATGTATTTAGTGACTTGCCTAGACTACCTATATTGTCTTTCTCCTCAGTGGTATACCACTGCTAATGTCTCTACTCAATTTTTTTAAAATTATTTTTTATTATGGTATAATTAAAATATAAAATTATAGCCCCTGGAACTTCAGCTGCTACCCGTGAGAGCGCAGTCAGCCCTCTCATATCTCCACACTTCCTTTCAGTCTTGATGTGACTTCTACTGTAAGTCCTTGGTTACAAGGCTTCTCTCCAGTGAGTGTTCAGTTGGTTTTTCAGGATGATTTTTCTATAATTTAGTTGTAATTCCTGTTTGGTCCTGGGAGGAGGTAAATGTATCTTCAACCAAATCCACCACCATCTTGGAGCCATCTTTATTGAGAACAATTGTAATAGCATAAATGATAAAATAAATTAATAAAATAAAATAAAAAGACTTAAATATAAGTCTTGATATCCTTAAAATCCTAGAAGAAAACACAGGCAGTAAAGTCTCAGACATTTCTTGTGGCAACATTTTTTATGATATATTTCCTTGGTCAAGGGAAACAATAGAAAAATAAACAAATGGGACTATATCATACTTAAAAGTTTCTGCACAGCTAAGGAAATCATCAACAAAACGAAAAGAAAATCAACTGAATCAGAGAACATATTTGACAATACATATGATAAAGGGTTAATATCAAAATTTATAAAGAGTTATAAAACTTAACACCAAAAACAAACAAACAAAAATCCAATTAAAAAATGAGCAAAGGACCTGAATAGACACTTCTCCAAAGAGGACATACAGATTGTCAATAAACATATGAAAAGGTGCTCAATGTCACTAATCATCAGAGAAATGCAAATTAAAACCACTATGAGATATCACCTCACACCTATCAGAATGACTGCCATCAATAAATTGACATGTAACAAGTGTCAGTGAGAATGTGGAGAAAGGGGAACCCTCACGCACTTTTGGTAGGAATGCAAATTGGTGCAGTCACTGTGGAAAGCAGTATGGAGTTACCTAAAAAGTTAAAAATAGTACTGCCTTATGACCCAGCAATTCCACTTCTGGGAATTTATCTGAAGAAACTTGAAACACTGATTCAAAAGAATATAAGCAGCTCTTCATTAATTGTAGCATTATATAGAATCTCCAAGATACGGAATCAGCCTAAGTATCTATCAGTAGATGAGTAGATAAAAACAGCTATGGTACATTTACACAATGGAATACTACTTGGCTGTAAAAAAGAAAATAATTTACCCTTTGCAATTACTTGGATGGACCTAGAGAACATTATGCTATATGAAATAAGCCAGGCAGAGAAGGACAATTACCATTTGATTTCACTCATGTGGAATCTAATGAATGAACTGAACTAACAAGCAAAATAGAGATAGACTCAAAGGTAGATAGCAGGCTGACAATTCTAGAGGTGGGAGTTGGAGGGATTGAGCAAAAAAAGAAATGAAAGAACTCATGGAAATGGACAACAGTGTGGAGATTGCAGGCAGGAGGGGGTGAGTAGAGGTGAAAACGGGTATAGGAGGGATAAATGGCAATGGAAAAAATACAATTAAAATACGATTTAAACAAACAAACAATAAAAAACAAAGCAACAAAAATAAAAAACTGAAGCTATTAAAAATATAAAACTAGCCCTGGCTGGTGTGGCTCACTAGATTGAGTTCTGGCCCGAGAACCAATGGGTCACTGATTTGA